AATTATTCGTATGTTTTCCAAACCGGTAAAATTAAAAGTCCTTTTTAAAATGAATATATTGTACAAAAGTGTCCGTTAAAATCTAATGAATGTAAAACAATATTGTTTGTACATTTGGGCTAATTTGAACAATCTCCTTTATTATTAAAATATGATGCTCATATATGTTTATTTATTTTCAGTTACTTACATTTTAATTATACTCACAAATATCACAATCAGTTAGCCTCGAATGGCTAATTCAAATATACCTATTTAGATAATCAAAATAATCAAATTGATCACCTTTGGTAATCATTTTAGCGAACCTTTTATAGTAACAAATCTATACTTATACTTTTTATTTTTTATAACTAATTATCTAATTAAAAATAATATAACGTCTACACGAGCAAAGCGCACTGATTTAGGTAGTTACCGGCGGAGTCAGGCGAGCGACGCCATATTGCCAGCCGTGCCGAGCGCGCCCGACGTTAGCCGAGCGCGACCCGAAGGTACGATGTTGTAAGTTTCGGCGCGGCCGAAAGGTTCGGCCGTTTTTGGCCGAAACCGAAACTCGGGCCGAAACTTGATTTTTTGGCCGAAACTGGCCGAAACCGAAACCGAAACCGAAATTTCGGTCGGACACTAACAGGAAGCTTATGTTATTTTACTGGGTAAGGTAGTAAGGTAGTGTAATTTTACTGTAGCAAGGTAGTAAGGTAGTGTTATTTTACTGTAGCAAGGTAGTAAGGTAGTGTTATTTTACTGTAGCAAGGTAGTAAGGTAGTGTTATTTTACTGCGGCCTTTTTCTTCGTTAGGTGGAGGTAACTTCCCCAAATGCGCGTTCCAATTCAAGCGGCAGATCCGATACGCCCTACCTCCCTTAATTTCACACTCATGAATACTATTGATTTTCATACTTATGTAAAAAAAGTAAATAATACTATGTATTTATAATATACTAATTTATTTATACCGCCGTTCGTGTTTTTCATTTTTCCCAAAGGTTGATTGGGAGAGAATGCTTTTAGCATTAAGTCCGCCTTTTGTACCATTGTATATATTTTGGTCAATAAAGTTTAAATAAATAAATAAAATAATATAAAATAATAATCAGTTAGCCTAAAAAATACAAGATTAAAATTATATAAAAAATTCCACACGTCCGATACAGCCGTGGTAGCTAAAATGGTCACTGCACTGCAATTTGAATAAAGAGATTTTGAATTCGCCCAGAGGTGAAGATTGTTAGACGAGAAAATTTTTTTCAAGTTAAATATACTTATATTGAGATTAATTAATTCATCCGAAGTTATTCTTTACTTTAACAGTAAACCGTACTTTACTGAGCCAATGTAAAAGTGATCGTTTAACAAAACACCATTTGAAGGCCGTCGCGTCGTGCTCACCAAAACACCGTATTATCAGTCAGGGTCAACTTAAACCGTTCCAATTATACGGGTTTAGTGTGGATGTTTAACATTCAACTTACGTTTAAGAATTTCGATGACGATGACGGCTCATTAAAATACCATTAATGTTAACCATTTTCCCATTAGTTTTTGAACGTATAGCTGACCGCCTGCCGGTTGCGGCCGTGAGCGAGGACGCGGCATTGGCATTGTTTTTTTTTCGTACCTTAAAATACTTGTTGATCAAAACAAATGACGTACATGCATTTGAAAAAAGAAAAAGGACGGAATAAAAAACAAAAAAATCACACATTTAATTTGAAATAATTATTAACTGTCAAGGAAACAAAAAAGCTGAACAAGTGCGAGTCAACGGCTTAAATAAAGGGTTCATTATCATTACGTACTACCATGATCAATCCCCTTATCATGAAGGATGTACATAACTATCGAAATAAATTCCTTTTTCAATACATTTGCTAAAAAATGCATTTATGGAGGTTGTACACATTTTTCGAAAGTTCAAAATTACGCACTATACGACACGACGTGCGGTGAACATTTATCCGCACGCTCCGGTATATGGCAACGTGCGTATCCTCTACGGTTTTTTTTAAAATTTCGATCGAACCTCTTTGGAAGCGCTTTTGGTCTATACGTTTGTCTCACTTTAATACTAAAAAAAGAAAAAGAGCTAAACCATGTAGTTCTAATTTTCACCACTAGGACGTGGCGCAAGGTGGAAATACGCGTCATTTTTTTCTTAAAAAAGTTGGATTCATTTCTTAAAATTCTACTGTTTTCTCGGAAACGTGTTGAAAACGTTGACATTAGTGCGGATTGGTATTTACAAACTCGTGACTATGGAAAACCCTCGACTTCGTCTTGGGCTTACATTTGTCTACTCGTTTGTAATAACCAATTTACCGCACTAATATCATTAATAATTATTTAGGATGACGTGCCCAAAGGGTGAAAATGCAACCCTATTGCTGTCACTCTGCCCTGTCTGTCCGTTTGTCACGGGTCTCTTAATCGTAAACGGAATGTGTTACAGAACTGATATTTAAGAATTTTATGGAGAATGCTTGCCCGAAGCCTAGTATTTAGTAAAAATTCAATTATATCATTTTTCATGAATCCCATACATAAAAAAGGGACGAAAAATATTTTTTCTTGTTTAGGTCAGCATGGGACACATCATTGTCTAGAGTTCGTTGAGTAGAATATATTATATTATATTTTTTTATAGTTTTTGGCTTTGATAAGATTCAAGGTCACCAGCGGAAGCTTACGCGCAGGTAGCGTAACCTCCTGCGCGGTTTCCTTCATTTTATCATTCAACAAGAGAATAAGGGACTCGATTGCTCCGTCGATTTTCTCCGGTCTGTCAGGGTCATTGTTATCGAGTGCGGGCTCAAGGGACGCGCGCAAACCTTCCTAGTTAGCAAACAACTTCTTGGTGGGACACAAGCCATACCAAGAGGTTGGAGTTGGAGCACCAAGAGACCGGGTATGGTCTGGAGTTTCAGAGGGATCTCCATATGGTCAGAAAAATGTCTCCTCCCCACCTGATATTAAGCGACGGTGAAGTCTAGACGTGAAGATAGCTAATACAGCAGTTCTACCTGCTACACCAGCCATCCTCATTGCCCGCCTGCGTGTTGCTTCTTCACGCCTCTTTTCTTTCACGGTTGTAAGAAGGAGGGCACACGTGAGCAGGCAGAACATTCCATTTAATGAGGTGAGGGGGCCTTACACTTGGGATATTGGGTCTGTTGTCGGATCCCAGCTCGTCGAGCGTTTCGATCGATCTGAGGCGTAGGTAGGTATCTTTTACGATAGCGAAATCTAAGACGTGTCGGGTTGGTGTTTGGGATTCTCTGGGTAGTGGATGGGGGCAAAAGGGCACAAAACTTTTAATCTTAGCTCTTCTACTATCTAACGAAGCTCGGGGCTGTTGGTATTAGCTTTTTCGTAAGTCCAGTTTGTATGTTCAGTGTTGAAGTCGCCGAAAATAATAAGTGACCTACCTAAATTTAAAAGCGGCTCAAATCGGCCTTTACTAGTGTGGTTCCCGCGGGATAATGTATGCGATGATAAGCGTAAAAAAATACAGCCGTTTATGTTGCGTACTTTCAAATTCATCTTACGAATCGGACAACATTTCATCCCCCTAAATGTTAAGGGTCCACCCTTTAATTTTTTTTTGAACAAAATTATTCGTTTTTTTTATTTTTTAAGATATACAAAAATACATACAACTCTAAATTTTAACACTTCTACCACAAACCTCTATTTTTTTATGGCGATACGAAGATCGCTGGATCAGCTAGTTAAATACATAAAATTATTATATTATTATATGACACAAAATTAAACGCCGGATAAAGATTTAGCTATCGACGTAATGAAAAAAAAACTTTCTTTAATAAAACTACGAATGTTAACTGTACGGTCGGTCGGCGCCGATGTTCTTCTGTCGAAATTGAACAATAAATAAAAATCAAACGGGCTAAGGGCTCCGATGAGGATTCCGCACGTGTCCCTACTCTATTGGAAACTGTAACAAGTTTGACTTTTAGCACAGCTCACATAACTAATGAATAAAGTTACCTCATTGAACCTTCTCGCCGTATTGTTTGACTTGCTTTCTAACTAACCGCTACTGGTGTGATATATTATTAATTATTCTGTTTCATTTATTTGTCTGGCGTCTGAATAGTTTACGCATTGCGTGAAACCTATTTATTCAGAAAGTGAAGTACTTATGTTATTACTTCATTAAGGCCGTGTTGTTCTTTCATCCAAAGTTAAATTTGACTATTGTTAATGTCACGTCAAATACATAGTGAATGTGTAAAAATTGGCAAATGGTTTCTTTTTCTCTAGTACTCTAACTATAGTCAAATTTGATCAATAAATTAACTCTGGATGAAACAATGCGGCCTAAATTTAATGTACAACATTAATTTTGAGCATTTGGCTAATCAATTGAAATTTCGTTTTGCAGCACTTCAATATTACATTTATTATATCCGTTACATTTTTTACTTTTATTTACGAAGGACATGATAGGAGTGATGTTATAAATTGTAATTATGTGTAATTAATGTGTGTACATTTAAAACATATAAGTATTTTTTTAAATGCAAATTTTACTAGTGTTAAAATGTCTGAAGTTGCCGCATTCATTATGTGGAACCAGAAGTAACAACAGATATTTTTTGTTGCCTTTCCGGTTGCCCAATATGCACGCGGAAACTATAGAAGTTTTGAAAATTTTATACATTTTACAAAAAGGTGTGTAAATTGTTGTTATTGTGTAAATTATTATTTATACAATTGTGTTTATTGTGTAAATTTTTATTTACACAATTGTGTTTCCATTCAAAGATCATTATTTAATTTGGAATATTTTTTGTTTCGTCATAAAAAAAAAAACTATAAAATGGGTGCCAAACATTGCACATTATTATTGTCCACATAATGGTAAGTGCCACCAGCCTATAAACTTTGCGATATCAGAGCATCAAAGAAGAGAAAGAGATAGAAACTTTACTCATTGCTATTAATATAGTGCCTGAATAAAAAAAAAAGTTTACCTTTATGTGAACTGACAGCAAAGGCGATATCTTCAAACAGGATGTGCACCGGTGGTCGTTTCGCCATACGATTGAGCGCTTTCAGAGTAGATCCTGCCCTCTCCAAAGCAGCAGGAGTCCATTGATTCTCCTGACAAGGTTGGATCACCAGGGGGTTGTTCTGATCGGCTGCCGTTGGGGTACCGTGAGCCAGAGCCGCACCAGCAATAGCGCGACGATACAATGGAACGCTCGACATTTTTCAAAAATTTGACACCACACAAAATGATAATGGTTATTCTTAATATAAATAATCACTTCAACTTCCTTACAAAAGAGGCAAGTTGCTGTTATTGAACCGAAATTCAAAATTTAAATTGAGAATTAAAAACTTTTGCCATACAACACATCGCGCGTTCTTCGATTCGTACCGCGTAAAGTGGGTGCTTCGTGGCAACGTGCGCGTGCGGCCTTCGTCAGTGTTGTTGTACAACTAAGAGTACTTGAAATCGAAATGCATCAATGAATGAACCGCCTCGATGCGTTTGCTATTAAGGTTGACATTAAATAGCTGCACTAGCATAATTGTTTCCTGTTTACACTTAGGACTATGATTGTTGAAGTTTTCCTAAAATATAACGCAATACATTAGAAATTTAACTTTCTCTTGAGACTTTGCTTTGTTCAAAGCATAAAGTTGAGTGTATGAATGAAAAGCAGAGAGCTTATACATTATCGGATCTGATTCTGATCCAAAAATGAAGTTCATTGTTTATTTTTAACTTTTAAGTATCTACTCATGCATAATAGAAGATTTTTTTGTCACTGATGATTTTCTTTTTATATTTCCGAAAGGACTCTTATGAAGTTCTTCATCAAAATTGGGAATGTCGAAGTAACATATAGTTTATTTATTCTTCCTTTACGTCAATGTCGGTCAGTATTTCTAAAACTACTAGATTTGTTTTAAATGTAGGTAAGAGCGTTTTAATTATCTCAATTGGTCTAAATGTCTCTTTCGTAAAAAAGCGGCCAAGTGCGAGTAGGCCTTGCCCACGAAGATTTCCGTACCATTATGCTATAGACTTGTTAAAGGTTTTCCTGTAATCTACAAAATTTTATAGATCAGTTTTCATCTACTTTCTTGATCTAATTTTTTTTAAACTATTTATTTACGTTATCTTAAAAAGATTATGTTTGTAGCCTTCACTATGAGCCTTTTTATTTGATAAGTAATAAAATCGCTTGATGTATACCAATCCGAAGCAAGCAGTCAGTGCTTGCGTACGTGCTTCAAGTCAGGAGTGCAGGAGTCATTCACATTGGTAGGTATACCGGTTCATGAAATAAAAATAAAAAATTTCGGTCGGTGACCGACCGCTTGATCTTCTCCCGTCGACCTGGCCAACCACTATCAGATTCTCTAAGCTGTCAGGGTATAGGTAGAGAAATATATGGTATACTGGCAACCCAACCAAGAGACGTGATTTTTAGGACTTTTGTGAGTGTAGGGTAGAGCTAACAATGGTACCTACGGGACAACTGGGGATAATCCAACCCTAACAATCAACTCATTAAAGTTATCAAGTCCAACTCACAATTGAAAGAGGTAGGGAAAAGGGTTGGAAGGTGGCAGGCTGGTGTGGCAGGTAGAACTGCTGTATCAGCTATCTTCGCGTCTGGACTTCACCGTCACTCAACATCAGGTGGGGTGGAATCATTTGGCGGACCTATCGATAAAAAAAGCTGGCTTCGCACTTGAATTGGAGCGCCCGTCTGGGGGAGTAAACTCCACCTTACAGAAGATCACAGTAGAATAATACTATCTTCTGGTGGTGTTGTGTTTCTGTCGGTGAGTAAGGTTCCAGGGCTATTAGACGTATCGCAAACGTCTATAGTCTATGGTGGCCACTTACCATCAGGCGGGCCATATGCTTGCCAGCCACCCTTTTAATATTAAAAAAACTTGGCTGGTAGTTTTATGAATACCTTAATTCCATTCTGGATTAGAGACGAAAGAAATATGATAAAGAATTTTTTTTTTAGTTATTTTCTAAGTACACACTTCGATTACTAGACTTTTGTTAAATCAACGAATGCTTGGGTAAGCTAGATCGTTTGACACTATACCTTATTATGAAAATTTATCTATTCCCGATGGTGCAATTACACTTGGTCGTTAGTCCGAACTCGATTGCGTATGGAATTCGAACAAAATCTAAAACAACCACTAAATCTAAATGAAGGGAGTGGAGTACGTCCGTATTCGGGCAGTTATCGTTTTCGTTTTTTTTGGTTACCCGAAGCCGTCTTCCAGCCCTTGTTCGATTAAAAACAATGTAAATTTTACATCTCAGGTGCCCGAACTCGATTAATGTTTTTTGTGCACCCGAATACGGGATAACGACCAAATGTAAATGCGCCAGAATATTATTGTAAGTTCCCGTTAAAGAAATTTATTATGTCACATTGAAATTATGCTTTAACTCTAGATCACGTCAAGTCTGAGTTAAATATTAGCCCCCCGTTCCCATTTTATAAATGTAGACTAGCGGTCGCCCGCGACTTCGTCCACATTAACTTTAGTTTTTTAAGGATCCCTCAAGAACCTAACATTTTTCCAGTATATAAAGTATCCTTTGTCTCATTTCAGGTCATAAACTATATGCGTATCAAATTTTATCCAAATCCATTCAGTCAGGCCAGTAGCAGCAACATAATGTGCCTTTAAAGAGCTCAAAACGAAAAAATCTTCGAACCCTAGCAAGCGCACCATGGTTCTCACGGAACAGCGAAATCCATGAGTACCTAAATATTCCTACTATAATAGAAGAAATACAAAGTCGCAAAGAACGATACTTCTAACGACTAACCTTGCACCCAAACCCACTGGCCAAAGAGTTGCTAGATACGTCGAATATAACTAACAGACTCAGAAGACGTAATGTTTTTTAGCTGGGAAGCTGAGGCACTGGCCTCTGCTCTCTTAAAGTCATTCCGCATGCAACAAAATTGATAAAAGTCCTTAAGGACTGATGGCAATTAAGACTGGAGAAAAAAAAACCATTCAGTAGTTTGTGTGATTGAGTAACAAACATACAAACTTCCACATTTATAATATTCGTAGGATCTCAAGTATAAATACTGAGTTTAGGTTTATATAGGATGCGCGTTTCAATTTATTCATATTAAAATTGCAGCAGCTTCCATTCAGGTCCCTCACTGTTAGGCGTCATTTTAGCAAATCAAAAATGGCAAACCTCATAATTTATTTAGATAAGTATCCGTACCAAGTTTTAAGTCTTTAACTCAAACAATAAGATTTTTCATTTCACTTTTCCTTTTCGATTTTACCCTCTTAATAAGGGTTTATTTACGAAAAACCCTGATACACGTTATTCTTTCTGGTCTTTAGTAAAAATACCAAGTTTCGAGTGAATCGATAAGCGCGTTAAAATTCATCCATATAAAAAGGTCGACATTGTCCATATCCACTTTGAAGTATTAAAAGGGTGGTTAATGTAAGCTAAAAAATTCAACTTTATAATTTATTTAGATAAGTATTTGTACCAAGTTTCAAGTCTATTAACTTAAGGAGTAAAAATTTACATAGAAACTTTTATCCCCTATTTTAAACCCTTGAATTTTGAAAATTCATTTCTTAGTGCACTGCTAGACCTCATAAGAAACCTACGTACTAAATTTGGAGACTCTAGACCCAGCGATTTGAGGTTTTCGTTGATATGTTAGTCTGTCAATCAGCCACTCGGTCAGTTTCTTCTTTTATATATTTACTAGATATGTAAGTAGGTATATGTATAATTATGTTCTATGGTATAGGCTGGTTTTTGGCATCTACAACCATCTACAATATTCTGGTCACATTAAATTATGTTCTCAATGTGATGTGAATATATTTATAATTGAAATAAGAATAATTAAAACATAAAAAAAAACTTTTATCGCTCTGCCGCCGCACTAGTACCATCAAATATTTTAATGCGGGAATGCGGTTGACGTGATTATAATCGTCATCAAGAGAACCTGTTAATTATGTCAACAACCGTTTACGGATCCAGCAAGATGTGAATAAAACAAAACTGCTGCTATATGTTACTCGGTATAGATGTTTTCCAGTAACTAGTTTCGGCGACTTAACGTAAGGCCGACGCGAAATATTGCATCAGTAACTGCCTCAACATAACACTTGTTATAGCTTTGAACTGTCAGGGGAAAATGATATGGGGGATAATACTGACTTCTTGTGCATTGGCGACTTTAATACGCCTACTATAAACTGGACTAAATGTACTACAAGCTCATATATGTGTCCAGGCCCTATATCTGTGGGAGTTAAATCTGAGCTTCTCTTGGAGACTCTGGATATCTGTAACCTCAAACAGTTCAATAACATCTCTAATAAAAATGACCGTTACTTAGACTTAGTTTTATACACATCTAATTCTTTAAGCGTTCATGAGGCACACTCATTGAGTCGCATTGATGACCATCATCCACCTTTGCTTATTTATTACTTGCCAAATTTCTACTTCTAATGTGATCTCGCGAGCCCGCAGTAAGAGACCTAATTTCTACAAATGCAATCTTGTTAATATTCGTGATGAACTGAACTCTGTAAACTGGAATGAGTACTTGGCTTGTGCAAATATTGATGACTCTGTCAGTAAGTTCTACGAGATATTGAATCAAATAATTTATAAACATACACCCTTAGCGAGTAATAGATCCAATAAATTTCCTTTCTGTTTTAGTCCTGCACTGATTCGTTGTATGAATGAAAAACTTAAGTATCACAGGCGGTACAAAAAATATGGTAACCCTCGTGATTATGACTCTTTTGATTTGCTTTGTGCTCGTTGTAAGTTACTTTTGAACAAATGTTATAGGTCCTATCTCGAGTCTGTTGAAAGTTCTGTCAAACTTAATGTTAAAAACTTCTTTAGATATGTAAACGACAAAAGAAAATCCACTGGCATACCCCGAACCATAACACACGGTGACGTCACATCTTGAAATGTGGAGGAGATATGTGAAATGTTTTCGAAATACTTTAGCTCCGTCTATGAAAAAAATAATTGCTATCTCTACTCGCCTAACAAAACAGTTAATCGTGGTTTGTTTTTGTCAGACGCAAGGATAAACTATGATAGCATTAAAACAGAAATACGGTCTCTTGATATTGGTAAAGGAGCTGGCCCAGATCAAATCCCTCCTCACTTTATAAAGAGCTGCTGCGATGAGCTTAGCGTTCCTCTGTTCATACTTTTTAATAAGTCATTAGAGTGTGGTATTTTTCCTAGTCTTTGGAAGACTGCATATGTTATTCCCATATATAAATCTGGTGACAGAGAGCAAATCAGCAACTACAGACCTATCAGTATTTTGTCTTGTTTTGCCAAGCTATTTGAATCTCTAATATATGAGACACTTTACTCACATTTCAAGCCATTTTTATCACCTCATCAGCATGGTTTCCTGGCTAATAGATCAACAGTAAGCAATCTCTTAGAA